CCCCTCTTCTTTTGGAGTCTTGACTGCTGTGTGTCCTAAAAAAAGATCTGTCCCCTTTAGAGCAACTCTGTTCTGACCCTGCAGCCTTGGGGCATCATGTGTACCCTCCTCTCAGGCGTTGGCGAAACCTGGGTCTGCTTCCCACCTCAGCTGTGGTCTCAGGAAATGGCGAAGTCAGGAAAAGGCTGACGTCCCCACTTATCAACTTTCTCCTGCAATCCAGAATGGCAGATTTTTGAACACCTTTTTTGCCTTTCACTTGTACTGTGGCCTATTTGTTTGTTTTTAACGCTTTTATGGTACAAACAACCATAAAACAACCACAACAGAAAAAAAGAAGTGATGCCCCCCTTCCTTTCCACGGTTTCTAGCAAGTCATCTGTTTCCATTGTCCACATTCCCTGAAGTCTTGGATAAGATTTTTCCCAGCAACAGCTTTGTCTTCCTGGTTGTGCTTGGCTTAGGACACCGAGAGAAAGAGACTGTGTTCCCTGAGCTCCTGCAGAGGGTGGAGGAGTGGGAGGCTCAGAGGCCAGCCCAGGGCTGAGGGAGGCCTGTCTGTGTTTGGACAGAAACTCACTGTGGTCAGTGGCCAGGGCTGACTTCCTGCCGGGTGAGTGGAGAACACATTACCTTTAGGAGGGGGTCTGGCTTCCAGCCCTGTCTCTGCCGGGAATTTGCCCGTGACCTTGAGCAAGTCCTGCATCCTTTCTAAGCCTCAGCTGCCTCATCTATTAATGGGAGAAGTAACTCTGACCAGAGCTTCCCAATGTGGGTTCCATGGGATGGTCATAGGTATTATAGGGAGGAGGGGAGGGACGGGGCTCTATGATCATGTATATTGGGAATGCCAGATTCAACAAAGCCCAATGAATTCTTTGGTACAAGTCTTAAAGCTTTAAACACGTGGCTCTTAATTTTTTCCACTAGACTCAAAACCTCCAGGGACCTTTCCCAACTAGAGGGAAAGGTCCATCGTCATCATCTTAATAGCCTATAAATGTTGACCACTTGCTGTGTCCCATACATCAAGCTAGTGCATCTTGTGGCTTAGTTCAGTGAATCCTTGTCCCCACTCTGTATTTTATTTTATTTTATTTCTTGAGATAGAGTTTCACTTTGTCACCTTCAGTAGCACACTGTGGCATCATAGCTCACAGCAACCTCAAACTCTTGGGCTCAAGTGATTCTCTTGCCTCAGCCTCCTGAGTAGCTGGGACTACAAGGC